TAACAATTACCAGTAACCCAAAACCCTAGATCTTCCAATCAGATCTAACAATAAACCATAAACGTATCAAAAAGATTACAAATAAGCAACCTAAGCGCTTCAACTCTTCTAACCAAAACGATAAATAAGCTCATCCTCACTTTTGATTCGCCATTAATTAAACAAAAGTTCACAAAAGAATCAAAAAATAATACGTCAAAGAGCAAGCTCATCTCTTCTGCAATTCAATCAAATAAAAAAAACCCTTTCAATGGAGAGAGAGAGAGAGAGAGACTTACTCCTCCCCATGGCGAGCTATCTCTGAAGTTGAACTACGGCTTCCAGCAAACGATTACAAAACCCTAAGGGAAGGAGAGAAATGTTGTTTATATAGCGGAAGCAGATAGGCAAAGAGAATTGTAAATGGGCTGTGGACCGTGTAAGCTTACGTGTGGACATCCGTTACGTAATGGGCCGCCTTAAAACTAGACTTCTTTGACAAGCCCAAGTCCAGAAGCTTCTTGGACTAAAACGGCTTGGGTCAATATCTTTAGGGTAGGTATGGTAATTATCTTTTATTTAAGGGTTAAATTAAAAAATTCTCTTTATACTTGGGAACGCTTACAAACGACCTCTTTATATTTTGTATTTTTGCTCTAAACCATCCTCAATTTGAAAAAAAAAATGGTACAAAAGATAACTGATTTGCAAGCGTCCCTAATAATTTAAAGCATCCCCAAGTACAATAGGATTTTTTTTTTTGTAAATTAGCCCTTTATTTAACGGCAAACATTTTAATAATCTAAAAATTCTTTTTTAATATCTTCACTAATATGAAGGATTATCTAATTTAAAAAAAAATGATTTTTAAAATATTTATAAAACTTGACTTACAGTATATACTATTGTGACGTTCACCGTTTTTTGTAATTTAATGGAATAACTGCTAATATTTTCATGAACATCCCAGAACTAATATACCAAATTAAAATTAATTATACCATAAATGTGAATAATATCCACTAAATCTAGTAACTGACTACACCTAGTCTAGTTAATCACTCCTAACACTCTCAGTAGGGAGGTCATCCATGCCTTTTATTAAAGACTCATTTTGAAGTCGATGTTATATTCGGAGCCGATAATCAATAGGACTTGTCGTTGGCTGAAGTTTCATGCATAGACACGTTGGACATGACCAATGGATTGATTGAAGCCCCATGCATCGCTGAGAAAAGACAGCTCATGCATGAATATGTTAGACACAACTGGTGGATTGATTGAAGCCCCATGTATGACTGGAAAAGACAACTCATGCATGGACACGTTGAACACAAGCAAGCAAACAAATAACACTAACCCATAGACTTGAATTGTGGGTCATTGCTAGATTCTTCTTTTGTTTTTTTGCATATTTTATTTTATTTGTAATCCCAAATTGTTTGTAAACCCCCCAACCCCCCTCCCCCTCCCAAAAAAAAAGAAAGAAATAACCATGGAGAAGATAAACATCTTTTGGAAATTTCAAGGCTTTTGAAACATTAGTTAGTAGAATGATGGGGTAGCTAATGCAATACTCAAGAAATTCAGTCTATTGGAAGAACAACCGTAAGGAATTACAACCTCAGCAACACTACCAAACCTGAATGGTCTGCCCTATCATTTTTACAAACAATTTCTGACAGTATAGACTAATAATACAGAACTAACACACCTCTTATTGCCACCAAAATTCTTTACAAAAATTAAAAAGTATCACCTAGGAGTAATAGTTGGGACGACTCCACTGACGAGCTCACTGCCAGAGACATCTGACGAAACGTAAGGGTTCTTCACTATAGAGGAGGAAGGTTGAGAGGTCACTGCAATTTCTGGGTCTTTGTCTGATGATTCTGTCGTTTTGGTGTCAGATTGTGGCATCATAAGCCATATGCTTTCAAGTTGCCGAACCACCTCTGCCATTGAAGGCCGGGCATCTGTCTCCTCTTGGCAACACTTGAGGGCCAAAGATAGAAACTTCTCCACACAATCAGAAGGATAAGATCCCATCCTCTCATCAATAACCGAGAAAATCATACCAGAACTGTAAGCAACAGTCACCTGATTCAGATTGAAAGCATAAAACAAGAGTTCAGTGTACAAGAAGTTGGGTCAGGCAATCTAAGCAAGTGACCACACAATAGAGTTTAAATGAATCACTGAGATGTATCTTAGGTAACATACATCATTATATGTATGAGACACATTCATATACACAAATTTACAGACTAAATCAAGAATTAAGACTCTCAATGAAGTAGTTAGTACCTCTCGAACAATGTTTTTGCCATGTGAGATCGGCTGCATCCCTGTCAAGAGCTCTAGAAACACTACCCCAATGCTATAAACGTCACTTTTGTCTGTCAGCTTATGAGTAAGGAAATACTCTGGGTCAAGGTACCCCTGCAAACAAAATGGCTTCAATTTTCATGTTGAGAGTGAAATTATGTCTTATAATGAAAAATGGATCAAGGTAGACGCTTTCCAGTTTAACTCTTGAAAATTAGTTCGTCATGCAAATGCTTTCCTGGAGTGAATCTGGGTTTAAAATAACACTACAATTTGTCTTGTTACCCTGGAGGGATCATTCAATGAAAACCAAGTTGGACTCAAAAACATCAAAAGGAAAAAGTGAAAGTGTGTATATATGTTAGAGCCTTGCAATTTTAATAAATTGACGTTTAAAGAGACGCTATTCATCCTACAGAAATGTTGCTTTTCACTCTGAACTAATTCATCAATTGACAAAAAGGCCCTCTCTCTTGACATTTACTTAATAAACTCTATCATTTCATTCTTCTTAGAATTCCCTCAGTCCCACTATTATTTAAACTATAGCTCTGTGTCCGTTCTAGGCTGAATTATCATCCCAGGAACACCCATCCAAACTGGGAAAAAACAAATTCCTTGTCAGCCGCAAGAAGTCACTCTTCACCAGCTGCTCAAATATCTTCAAATCAGAAGAGAGGTAGCATGTTAAGAATGAGACAAAAATGGGGCAACTCCTTTACATCCACAAGCATGGTATAAAGAACAGAGATTTACTTTCTTATAGCTCAATCATTAGACATTGCAGAATACGAATCAAAGATACAATAAAAACAACAGAAGTAAAAAAACAAATAAAACCACCGAGGTCTTTTAATATTCAGGCCTTCTGGTGTTTTCCCATCAATTTCTCATTATCTTTCCTCTCACCATTGAGCCCTTTATCGGAATATCATTAAACTTCCATTTCAAGTTATCACCTTTAAAAGTAAGAATTATATACACACCAAAACTAACTAATTTTCATGAATCCTTTTAATCAGCAGGGTTGTCATGAGAATGCCAGACCCAGTCCCAAGAGGCAGAAATTTATCTTTAATTTTCATCTGAAGCACATCCTTTTCTGTGACCGGTATCATCTTTCGCATTAATGTATTGGGTCCCATGACAGCTGTGATCTTTAAATTCTCTTAGTCCTAGACACTTTTATATTCCCATTTTGGCAAACAATTTGCGCTGGGTCCTGGTCCTAGCTTAGTTCTGAAGCTCACACACGTACATATTATAAAAGACAAAAGTTGGGGAACGAAGGCAGCTTCTGCGTAAATGGGACAACTCATCAAGGGCAAAAAAGGGGGATAGAATCTCAAAAATTCACCAGCAACTATTGTAATCAGAGCTGTTTTATGTTCTTGTTGATGTTGATGTAGTCTTTTGCCTGCTCTTATTACAACTTTATGGCTGATTTGATGTGTAATGGAAAAAAAGGACAAAAGAGAGAATGAAGAACTATTTAGACGTACCAACTATCTGCCTATACTGCATAAAATATTAATCTGTGAACGACCATTAATTGAAAGAGATGAAAAACAATTTTTTTGTTACAAGGTATTAGTCACTTGAATTTCATTATTTTTTTTATTGAATTTCATTATTTTATGAGTGTTTCCCTGTATAAGATTCATGCTTACCGGAGTGCCTCTAACAACTGTAGATATATGAGCCGCCACTGCTCCCTCCATATCAGGAACTGGAGCAAGTCGTGATAATCCAAAGTCAGCAACCTTTGCAGTAAGTTTGGAGTCCAATAATATGTTGCTGGCCTTGATATCTCGATGGAATATTGGAGGATCAGCTTCTGTATGCAGGTAAAGAATGCCCTTGGCTGAACCCAATGCAATTTTCAGTCTCATAGCAAAGCTTAGTGGCTCTTTAGACTTGCCTGTGACATGAAAATTAACCATCTATTCAAGCACCAAGGAATTAACTAGTAAAAAAAATTAAGCAAAAGAGTGAGTCTCAGCCCCAAGAAAAGAAAAACATAACCATGGAGGAAGAGTAGAGAGATTTTGAGAGTCCCAATGAAGTTTGTAAGACATACCAGATAGTTGATCCCGGAGGGTGTGGTTAGACATGAACTCATAAACCAACATCTGCATGTGAAGAGAGAAATGAAGGGATGAACATCAGAGTCCAATATAATAGTGCAGAATTAGATTGTTACAGGAAGAAAAGCATTGATTCTTGTCTTATAGAAAAACACTAGTTTTCCAGCACAGCAATTAACATTGATTTAACCAAAAAATGAAATACAAGTCCTCTCAATTTCACTTTAAAATGGGAGACAAACAAACGGCTGTAGCAATTTTTTTAATAAACAGTTATAATATATGCAGGGTATATACAAGCGTCTTTTACCATTCATAATTTTTCCTTTGGATACATGTACATCTTTTATATTCAGCTTAGAAAACATTGCACCTGTTACTTTTTCTCTGCTATTTTTCTTGTCTTTGTTTAAATTAGCCACAAATATGGTTTTGAATATTCAATTTTGTCCAATAAATTTTCTTTCCCAAATCTCTAGGTTTGCCCTCATCCATTTCATACTGGATTTAACTCTGTTCCTCAACTATTCAAGTCATGCAAATTGATTATAGTCAAGATAGAGTGGAAAGGAAGAATGCATATAATTTAAGAAAGTGTAGCTGAATTTAAGGGTGTACCTGTTCCCCTTCATCATCACAGTATCCAATCAAAGACACCAGGTTTCGATGATGTACCCTTGACAATAATTCTATTTCTGTAAGAAACTCCTTTTCACCCTGTAATGATCCCTCCTGGGCACGTTTTATGGCCACAACAGTACCATCAGCTAGAATACCTTTGTAGACCTTCCCATATCCTCCTTGTCCAACTTGAGTGGAGACATTAAAATTGTTTGTCGCTAGTTTCATTTCCTCATAAGTGAAGTCTTTAACACCATCAATTTTGATGGATATTGTAGACGCTGCAGAAAAGACAACATGGAACCACGTTACATAATAAGATGACGGATGTGTACTGTTAGTTAATATCTCTCCTTTACTGTAAGGTATAATTTCCCTAAATTCAGATTTTTGCCTTAGGGATGAAAAATGCATGTCAATGGCCGTGATAATATGGGTTCTGAATGGTCGAAATAAGCATTTGAGTCTGTTGCTAAAAACTAGAAGTGTGAATGTTATCCATGTGTCACATTTTAAGCAAAGAGAAAGTATCAAAGCTACAAATATGTATCATCAAGATACTCTTATCCTCGAACCCAGCAGAAAGAGTGGGTTTGGTGCTGAACAATATGATCATAGACTTGTCTAGACTTCAAAACCCACTGTGAGGGTCAAGGTGATGAAGATTGTATAGCTTTGATAGACTATACCAGTTGATTTAGATCAAGAAGAAAGGGATGAGAAGAGAAGAAGAAAGGAAATGAGAAGGGAAGAAGGAGATGAGAATCAGAAGAAGAGATGAGAATCAGAAGAAGGGATGAGAAATAGAAATCAAGAGAAACAATTCTCAATAATATTTAATAACTTATAACTCTACTTCAAAATAATCACATCAGGCCCTTTATATATGGATGCCAAAACCAAAAATCAGGACTCCTAATCTAATTCTAACAGTACGAAAGATAAATACTAACTAATTTTCAAATAAATAAATAAATCCTAAAATAATCCACAATATTTATCCAACCCCAGCACAGTCCCCATCAAAGGCCTTGAATCAAAACATTGCATGCCCATAATACCATTCTTTTAACATCTTTAATAAATGAATCCATCTTTGGCTTTATGTTTCCAGTCATCTAAGGCTAGCAATAAAAGATTAGGATATGCATAATTTGTCTCCAGCAATTTTTAAGCGGGTTATCTTGAACCAAGTGTTTTATATAGAGCCTAATTATTAGACTTCCGAACAATTTATACAAGTTGGATTAAGTCAACAGAAAGGCTACTGCAATGCAAACACATACATGAGATAACCTACACCGAAAACGCGAAACAAAGAAATGAAGTCGAACTTATCCAAAAAAAGGAGCAGAGATATTGCTAATAAGTACAAACACTTCTAAGATGGTACCATGTTTGTTGGACACATGTTAGATATTAACACTTCTTGGACAAACATCTGATGAGATCCTAGTTAAAAACAAGAATCCAAAACTTACAATGTTTGGTTGGCACTTCTTGAAAACTCTTCAACACATTACCAGAAACGCATTGAAGCAAGGATAGTCAGTTTCTTTTAAAAAGTTGTAATTGTGTAGAGCCATCAATAAACGTTTGAATTTTTTTTTTTTTTTACACTTGACTTCACTTAATGGAAATAGAAGAAATGGAAGAAAACGCCAAAGCGTTAGCAGGGGAGGAATCACCATAATTATAAATCAATTGACGGAATTGGATTTTGCTTATAATATATGGCCCATAGATTTATTTTTCATAAACACATGTTATTATACATAAAACCTATATTTATTGTTGCCATGTCATCAACATGTCCTTTACTTTATCAATATTTTCCATGTCAGCGAGCCAGTGTAAACTGGCATTCATGTCTAGAGTATGATATGTGCTTTAGATCCATTGCCCCTATCCAGTTGATACATCTAAATATTACACGTGGTGTTGCTTTGCCAGATTCAACCCAACCTGCTCCCGTGCATTAGAACTTCATGCAGTATCTTTACAAAATATTGTGNAACTCCACGAGGGCTCCAGTCAGAAAGCGAAACAGGAAATGAAAGCAATCGGGAATTATGTACTAAGCCACTCTTGAATAGAACAGGAGTAGGAATTTTTTGGATGCTAGGCTGATATGGCTAAAGTGCTACAGATGGAATGTTACCCGAAGACTACCAATTAGAAAGTCTTTGTTGTGTATTTGGTCGTAAATTGTTGTTCCATCTATAATGATTAGTGTGATAGCATATCACCTCTATCTTAATAGAATAGCCGCAAAATCTTTGAACAGAACACATGAAAATCTGGCAAATGGGAAAACTGCCAGCGTAATCATATGAAAGGAGCTCAAAATACCAAATCTAGTTCCCCTTCTCAGCAACGCAATAAGCCATAAGCAGCAGCAAGCAGTTCAATTAACTAACATAAAGTTGATGGTGAAGAAAGTAACAAATAAATTCCAACTCCAGCTGACAACAATAATACATCAGTCACAAGTCTTGCAACAGATGCAAAGGTATCCACTTTGCCACAATTTAGAACGCATTCTAGCAAGAAAAGCACTCAATAAAGGTATTCCAATACGGTATCAACAGTTCAAAACACATTCTAGCATGAAAACAGGAGCAAGTACCACATAAAGCATACGACAAAACCAAAAATTAACTTGCTGCCAAAATTGGCCTGAAGCCATATATCTTAAATCAAAAAGATGTTCTAAGCAGCTGCATCTAAGAATGCTCTTCCAGGTTGTCGCCTTGCCAACAGTCCATGGCAGCCGAGAAGCTGCAAAAGTCAAATCAACATTCATAAGTTTTCTACTATATACCATTTATACAAAAAAAAAACCTCTAATATTAAACTATGTAGAGGCATGGATAACTTCATGACAGACAACCAGTACATTTTGAAACCTACCTGCTACCTGAGTGGCATGCATCCAGTCAAACAGTGAATCAAAGATTTTGAAAAATGAATCAACTCAAAAGGTTGTAAATGAAACAGCTAAAAGACGGGAAGTAGATCTGCTTAGTTTTGGAAAAGACAAACCTTGGCATTGACACCATCTGGCAAGATTCGGTTATCCGCTTTCCACCTCACATAATCAGAACGGCTGAACTTGGTAAACCCCCTGAAATGGCAACCACACAGAGTTTACTTTCATTTCCATTCAATTCAATAAACAATTTAGATGTTCAAAATGCTCAAATCAGATTAAATAACAATCACAACAACAAAACGCCCAATGACCACATTTGTGGAAATCATATTCTTAAATGTGTTTTCTACTTTGAGACACTTAAATTAATTTGCAACATTGTAGTTAATATAAGATAGTGAAAATTTCAACATACCATTTCCTGCTGACAATGATTTTCTGACGACCAGGAAACTTGAACTTTGCACGGCGCAAGGCCTCTTGGGCATTATGACTGTTTGTATCTTTGCAGCGAACAGAGAGAAGGACCTGACCAATGGCCACACGTGCACATGTCCCCTGGGGCTTACCAAAAGCCCCCCTCATGCCAGTTTGGAGCCTATCCGCCCCAGCACATGACAACATTTTGTTTATTCGCAGTACATGGAAAGGATGAACCCTCACCCTGAGGTGAAATGCATCTTTTCCAGCAAACTTAGTCATGTACTTGTTGCATGCAATGCGTGCAGCTTCCAGTGCCTCACTGGTAACATTCTCCTTCTCCCAACTAACCAAATGCACGCAGAAGGGAAATTCATCAACTCCCTTTTTCTTCATTCCGACATCATAAATCCTGATCTTTGGATCTGGCACACCACGACAATACCGTGACTTAGGGTAGGGCTTGTTCTTGATCTGGCGATAACACCTTGCAGGTCCTGTAAGATGGGAAACCAACACAACCATCAATCTCATGTTTCAATAGATTTCAAATTCCACTATGGTTCAACTTAAAGATAATGAACAAGTCAAAAAATTCACTAGAGACAATAAGTGATCCTTAAATACTCTGAACAGCCAAGGGAAGAAATAAACAGCANAGAGAGAGAGAGAGAGACTTACTCCTCCCCATGGCGAGCTATCTCTGAAGTTGAACTACGGCTTCCAGCAAACGATTACAAAACCCTAAGGGAAGGAGAGAAATGTTGTTTATATAGCGGAAGCAGATAGGCAAAGAGAATTGTAAATGGGCTGTGGACCGTGTAAGCTTACGTGTGGACATCCGTTACGTAATGGGCCGCCTTAAAACTAGACTTCTTTGACAAGCCCAAGTCCAGAAGCTTCTTGGACTAAAACGGCTTGGGTCAATATCTTTAGGGTAGGTATGGTAATTATCTTTTATTTAAGGGTTAAATTAAAAAATTCTCTTTATACTTGGGAACGCTTACAAACGACCTCTTTATATTTTGTATTTTTGCTCTAAACCATCCTCAATTTGAAAAAAAAAATGGTACAAAAGATAACTGATTTGCAAGCGTCCCTAATAATTTAAAGCATCCCCAAGTACAATAGGATTTTTTTTTTTGTNGGATAAGACATCAACGGAGGTAGTGAAGCTCAGTAAAAAAAGTGACACCCAACCAAAGCATTCCAAAAAGTCCAAGAAAGATGAAAACTCCACGAGGGCTCCAGTCAGAAAGCGAAACAGGAAATGAAAGCAATCGGGAATTGTGTACTAAGCCACTCTTGAATAGAAAAGGAGTAGGAATTTTTTGGATGCTAGGCTGATATGGCTAAAGAGCTACAGATGGAATGTTACCCGAAGACTACCAATTAGAAAGTCTANAATGATTTTTAAAATATTTATAAAACTTGACTTACAGTATATACTATTGTGACGTTCGCCGTTTTTTGTAGTTTAATGGAATAACTGCTAATATTTTCATGAACAGCCCAGAATNCAAAATCTTTGAACAGAACACATGAAAATCTGGCAAATGGGAAAACTGCCAGCGTAATGATATGAAAGGAGCTCAAAATACCAAATCTAGTTCCCCTTCTCAGCAACGCAATAAGCCATAAGCAGCAGCAAGCAGTTCAATTAACTAACATAAAGTTGATGGTGAAGAAAGTAACAAATAAATTCCAACTCCAGCTGACAACAATAATACATCAGTCACAAGTCTTGCAACAGNGTCTAGTTAATCACTCCTAACACTCTCAGTAGGGAGGTCATCCATGCCTTTTATTAATGACTCATTTTGAAGTCGATGTTATATTCGGAGCCGATAATCAATAGGACTTGTCGTTGGCTGAAGTTTCATGCATGGACACGACCAGTGGATTGATTGAAGCCCCATGCATCGCTGAGAAAAGACAGCTCATGCATGAATACGTTAGACACAACTGGTGGATTGATTGAAGCCCCATGTATGACTGGGAAAGACAACTCATGCATGGACACANGTCTAACGATTGTTCTAGCAAGAAGTTTTTGTACACAAATTTCATTTACTTAAACAGTTCATATAATGTGTATAATTTACATATGAATGTAGACATCCACCAGTACTTTTAACAATTGGCGTATAAAATAATTAAACTTCTCTTGCTCCGACTCCACTGTGTATTTATTTGACTAACAATACTACCATCTACCAACGACTAAAATCAACGAGACCACCAAACAAGAAAATACAGAGAGTTTCTTAATTTCCACATATTGTTTCAGCATCCATAGAGATGATAATTTCCAATGACATTGCCTGTGAAACAATAAACGAATCGACACCTTAAATAACAATTACCAGTAACCCAAAACCCTAGATCTTCCAATCAGATCTAACAATAAACCATAAACGTATCAAAAAGATTACAAATAAGCAACCTAAGCGCTTCAACTCTTCTAACCAAAACGATAAATAAGCTCATCCTCACTTTTGATTCGCCATTAATTAAACAAAAGTTCACAAAAGAATCAAAAAATAATACGTCAAAGAGCAAGCTCATCTCTTCTGCAATTCAATCAAATAAAAAAAACCCTTTCAATGGAGAGAGAGAGAGAGAGAGACTTACTCCTCCCCATGGCGAGCTATCTCTGAAGTTGAACTACGGCTTCCAGCAAACGATTACAAAACCCTAAGGGAAGGAGAGAAATGTTGTTTATATAGCGGAAGCAGATAGGCAAAGAGAATTGTAAATGGGCTGTGGACCGTGTAAGCTTACGTGTGGACATCCGTTACGTAATGGGCCGCCTTAAAACTAGACTTCTTTGACAAGCCCAAGTCCAGAAGCTTCTTGGACTAAAACGGCTTGGGTCAATATCTTTAGGGTAGGTATGGTAATTATCTTTTATTTAAGGGTTAAATTAAAAAATTCTCTTTATACTTGGGAACGCTTACAAACGACCTCTTTATATTTTGTATTTTTGCTCTAAACCATCCTCAATTTGAAAAAAAAAATGGTACAAAAGATAACTGATTTGCAAGCGTCCCTAATAATTTAAAGCATCCCCAAGTACAATAGGATTTTTTTTTTTTTGCAAATTAGCCCTTTATTTAACGGCAAACATTTTAATAATCTAAAAATTCTTTTTTAATATCTTCACTAATATGAAGGATTATCTAATTTAAAAAAAAATGATTTTTAAAATATTTATAAAACTTGACTTACAGTATATACTATTGTGACGTTCACCGTTTTTTGTAATTTAATGGAATAACTGCTAATATTTTCATGAACATCCCAGAACNTAAAACTTGACTTACAGTATATACTATTGTGACGTTCACCGTTTTTTGTAATTTAATGGAATAACTGCTAATATTTTCATGAACAGCCCAGAATTAATATACCAAATTAAAATTAATTATACCATAAATGTGAATAATATCCACTAAATCTAGTAACTGACTACACCTAGTCTAGTTAATCACTCCTAACACTCTCAGTAGGGAGGTCATCCATGCCTTTTATTAAAGACTCATTTTGAAGTCGATGTTATATTCGGAGCCGATAATCAATAGGACTTGTCGTTGGCTGAAGTTTCATGCATAGACACGTTGGACATGACCAATGGATTGATTGAAGCCCCATGCATCGCTGAGAAAAGACAGCTCATGCATGAATATGTTAGACACAACTGGTGGATTGATTGAAGCCCCATGTATGACTGGAAAAGACAACTCATGCATGGACACGNAACTTTGCACGGCGCAAGGCCTCTTGGGCATTATGACTGTTTGTATCTTTGCAGCGAACAGAGAGAAGGACCTGACCAATGGCCACACGTGCACATGTCCCCTGGGGCTTACCAAAAGCCCCCCTCATGCCAGTTTGGAGCCTATCCGCCCCAGCACATGACAACATTTTGTTTATTCGCAGTACATGGAAAGGATGAACCCTCACCCTGAGGTGAAATGCATCTTTTCCAGCAAACTTAGTCATGTACTTGTTGCATGCAATGCGTGCAGCTTCCAGTGCCTCACTGGTAACATTCTCCTTCTCCCAACTAACCAAATGCACGCAGAAGGGAAATTCATCAACTCCCTTTTTCTTCATTCCGACATCATAAATCCTGATCTTTGGATCTGGCACACCACGACAATACCGTGACTTAGGGTAGGGCTTGTTCTTGATCTGGCGATAACACCTTGCAGGTCCTGTAAGATGGGAAACCAACACAACCATCAATCTCATGTTTCAATAGATTTCAAATTCCACTATGGTTCAACTTAAAGATAATGAACAAGTCAAAAAATTCACTAGAGACAATACGTGATCCTTAAATACTCTGAACAGCCAAGGGAAGAAATAAACAGCATCTAGAAGATTGTGGCCAAATCAAATAGCATAAACAAACATCATACTCCATTATATTGTCCGGAATTAGGTTATCGGAAAATAAATTTCTCTGGAAAATAAGCATAAACAAAGCAAGTAATGGACAATTTGGCAGATCAGAACCAAATATCACAACCCAATAAGCCTGGGAAAGCAACTTGAAAGGAAGTCATTTCAGGGAGATTTGAAGTTCATTTCAACAAAAAAAAATGCAGATAGATGTAGTATGCATACAACAGACCAAGAGCAGCTTAATCAAGATCTTTTTCTGAATTGAAACAGGTATAGAACCACATGAAAGTTAACATCAATATTCACACACTTTTCAAAAAGCTTAAATAGAAAATTTGTACATATATATCAAGTCAAGAATTATTCAAATGACTGCATACTTAACTTACATCACTGTAGAAACTGTATCTTGTCTAACCACAAAAAGGGTAGGTAGGAACCAACAAGTTTGCAATTTATGAATGGGTCATCTCAATATATGAATCACCAATTTCCTAAAGCATTTGTGTGATCCTCCAAACCACAGAATTTATAAACAAAGCAACTGAACAAGAACATTCGATCATTCCCATGGCAAGCAACTAAACAAAAATATTTTTATCAGTCTAATTCTGGATCTTCTACCCGGATCTTAGCTTCCTCTCAGTAAAAAATGCAAACTCACGCATGTACCTGCTGACCTGATTTTATCTTCTGCTAACCACCAAATTTTGGTACTCTACATGATTAATACCCGTTTAGTGTACGCCACCTATCAATGTAGCAGTGGAACTGTCTAACGATTGTTCTAGCAAGAAGTTTTTGTACACAAATTTCATTTACTTAAACAGTTCATATAATGTGTATAATTTACATATGAATGTAGACATCCACCAGTACTTTTAACAATTGGCGTATAAAATAATTAAACTTCTCTTGCTCCGACTCCACTGTGTATTTATTTGACTAACAATACTACCATCTACCAACGACTAAAATCAACGAGACCACCAAACAAGAAAATACAGAGAGTTTCTTAATTTCCACATATTGTTTCAGCATCCATAGAGATGATAATTTCCAATGACATTGTCTGTGAAACAATAAACGAATCGACACCTTAAATAACAATTACCAGTAACCCAAAACCCTAGATCTTCCAATCAGATCTAACAATAAACCATAAACGTATCAAAAAGATTACAAATAAGCAACCTAAGCGCTTCAACTCTTCTAACCGAAACGATAAATAAGCTCATCCTCACTTTTGATTCGCCATTAATTAAACAAAAGTTCACAAAAGAATCAAAAAATAATACGGCAAAGAGCAAGCTCATCTCTTCTGCAATTCAATCAAATAAAAAAAACCCTTTCAATGGAGAGAGAGAGAGAGACTTACTCCTCCCCATGGCGACCTATCTCTGAAGTTGAACTACGGCTTCCAGCAAACGATTACAAAACCCTAAGGGAAGGAGAGAAATGTTGTTTATATAGCGGAAGCAGATAGGCAAAGAGAATTGTAAATGGGCTGTGGACCGTGTAAGCTTACGTGTGGACATCCGTTACGTAATGGGCCGCCTTAAAACTAGACTTCTTTGACAAGCCCAAGTCCAGAAGCTTCTTGGACTAAAACGGCTTGGGTCAATATCTTTAGGGTAGGTATGGTAATTATCTTTTATTTAAGGGTTAAATTAAAAAATTCTCTTTATACTTGGGAACGCTTACAAACGACCTCTTTATATTTTGTATTTTTGCTCTAAACCATCCTCAATTTGAAAAAAAAAATGGTACAAAAGATAACTGATTTGCAAGCGTCCCTAATAATTTAAAGCATCCCCAAGTACAATAGGATTTTTTTTTTTTTGCAAATTAGCCCTTTATTTAACGGCAAACATTTTAATAATCTAAAAATTCTTTTTTAATATCTTCACTAATATGAAGGATTATCTAATTTAAAAAAAAATGATTTTTAAAATATTTATAAAACTTGACTTACAGTATATACTATTGTGACGTTCACCGTTTTTTGTAATTTAATGGAATAACTGCTAATATTTTCATGAACATCCCAGAACTAATATACCAAATTAAAATTAATTATACCATAAATGTGAATAATATCCACTAAATCTAGTAACTGACTACACCTAGTCTAGTTAATCACTCCTAACACTCTCAGTAGGGAGGTCATCCATGCCTTTTATTAAAGACTCATTTTGAAGTCGATGTTATATTCGGAGCCGATAATCAATAGGACTTGTCGTTGGCTGAAGTTTCATGCATAGACACGTTGGACATGACCAATGGATTGATTGAAGCCCCATGCATCGCTGAGAAAAGACAGCTCATGCATGAATATGTTAGACACAACTGGTGGATTGATTGAAGCCCCATGTATGACTGGAAAAGACAACTCATGCATGGACACGTTGAACACAAGCAAGCAAACAAATAACACTAACCCATAGACTTGAATTGTGGGTCATTGCTAGATTCTTCTTTTGTTTTTTTGCATATTTTATTTTATTTGTAATCCCAAATTGTTTGTAAACCCCCCAACCCCCCTCCCCCTCCCAAAAAAAAAGAAAGAAATAACCATGGAGAAGATAAACATCTTTTGGAAATTTCAAGGCTTTTGAAACATTAGTTAGTAGAATGATGGGGTAGCTAATGCAATACTCAAGAAATTCAGTCTATTGGAAGAACAACCGTAAGGAATTACAACCTCAGCAACACTACCAAACCTGAATGGTCTGCCCTATCATTTTTACAAACAATTTCTGACAGTATAGACTAATAATACAGAACTAACACACCTCTTATTGCCACCAAAATTCTTTACAAAAATTAAAAAGTATCACCTAGGAGTAATAGTTGGGACGACTCCACTGACGAGCTCACTGCCAGAGACATCTGACGAAACGTAAGGGTTCTTCACTATAGAGGAGGAAGGTTGAGAGGTCACTGCAATTTCTGGGTCTTTGTCTGATGATTCTGTCGTTTTGGTGTCAGATTGTGGCATCATAAGCCATATGCTTTCAAGTTGCCGAACCACCTCTGCCATTGAAGGCCGGGCATCTGTCTCCTCTTGGCAACACTTGAGGGCCAAAGATAGAAACTTCTCCACACAATCAGAAGGATAAGATCCCATCCTCTCATCAATAACCGAGAAAATCATACCAGAACTGTAAGCAACAGTCACCTGATTCAGATTGAAAGCATAAAACAAGAGTTCAGTGTACAAGAAGTTGGGTCAGGCAATCTAAGCAAGTGACCACACAATAGAGTTTAAATGAATCACTGAGATGTATCTTAGGTAACATACATCATTATATGTATGAGACACATTCATATACACAAATTTACAGACTAAATCAAGAATTAAGACTCTCAATGAAGTAGTTAGTACCTCTCGAACAATGTTTTTGCCATGTGAGATCGGCTGCATCCCTGTCAAGAGCTCTAGAAACACTACCCCAATGCTATAAACGTCACTTTTGTCTGTCAGCTTATGAGTAAGGAAATACTCTGGGTCAAGGTACCCCTGCAAACAAAATGGCTTCAATTTTCATGTTGAGAGTGAAATTATGTCTTATAATGAAAAATGGATCAAGGTAGACGCTTTCCAGTTTAACTCTTGAAAATTAGTTCGTCATGCAAATGCTTTCCTGGAGTGAATCTGGGTTTAAAATAACACTACAATTTGTCTTGTTACCCTGGAGGGATCATTCAATGAAAACCAAGTTGGACTCAAAAACATCAAAAGGAAAAAGTGAAAGTGTGTATATATGTTAGAGCCTTGCAATTTTAATAAATTGACGTTTAAAGAGACGCTATTCATCCTACAGAAATGTTGCTTTTCACTCTGAACTAATTCATCAATTGACAAAAAGGCCCTCTCTCTTGACATTTACTTAATAAACTCTATCATTTCATTCTTCTTAGAATTCCCTCAGTCCCACTATTATTTAAACTATAGCTCTGTGTCCGTTCTAGGCTGAATTATCATCCCAGGAACACCCATCCAAACTGGGAAAAAACAAATTCCTTGTCAGCCGCAAGAAGTCACTCTTCACCAGCTGCTCAAATATCTTCAAATCAGAAGAGAGGTAGCATGTTAAGAATGAGACAAAAATGGGGCAACTCCTTTACATCCACAAGCATGGTATAAAGAACAGAGATTTACTTTCTTATAGCTCAATCATTAGACATTGCAGAATACGAATCAAAGATACAATAAAAACAACAGAAGTAAAAAAACAAATAAAACCACCGAGGTCTTTTAATATTCAGGCCTTCTGGTGTTTTCCCATCAATTTCTCATTATCTTTCCTCTCACCATTGAGCCCTTTATCGGAATATCATTAAACTTCCATTTCAAGTTATCACCTTTAAAAGTAAGAATTATATACACACCAAAACTAACTAATTTTCATGAATCCTTTTAATCAGCAGGGTTGTCATGAGAATGCCAGACCCAGTCCCAAGAGGCAGAAATTTATCTTTAATTTTCATCTGAAGCACATCCTTTTCTGTGACCGGTATCATCTTTCGCATTAATGTATTGGGTCCCATGACAGCTGTGATCTTTAAATTCTCTTAGTCCTAGACACTTTTATATTCCCATTTTGGCAAACAATTTGCGCTGGGTCCTGGTCCTAGCTTAGTTCTGAAGCTCACACACGTACATATTATAAAAGACAAAAGTTGGGGAACGAAGGCAGCTTCTGCGTAAATGGGACAACTCATCAAGGGCAAAAAAGGGGGATAGAATCTCAAAAATTCACCAGCAACTATTGTAATCAGAGCTGTTTTATGTTCTTGTTGATGTTGATGTAGTCTTTTGCCTGCTCTTATTACAACTTTATGGCTGATTTGATGTGTAATGGAAAAAAAGGACAAAAGAGAGAATGAAGAACTATTTAGACGTACCAACTATCTGCCTATACTGCATAAAATATTAATCTGTGAACGACCATTAATTGAAAGAGATGAAAAACAATTTTTTTGTTACAAGGTATTAGTCACTTGAATTTCATTATTTTTTTTATTGAATTTCATTATTTTATGAGTGTTTCCCTGTATAAGATTCATGCTTACCGGAGTGCCTCTAACAACTGTAGATATATGAGCCGCCACTGCTCCCTCCATATCAGGAACTGGAGCAAGTCGTGATAATCCAAAGTCAGCAACCTTTGCAGTAAGTTTGGAGTCCAATAATATGTTGCTGGCCTTGATATCTCGATGGAATATTGGAGGATCAGCTTCTGTATGCAGGTAAAGAATGCCCTTGGCTGAACCCAATGCAATTTTCAGTCTCATAGCAAAGCTTAGTGGCTCTTTAGACTTGCCTGTGACATGAAAATTAACCATCTATTCAAGCACCAAGGAATTAACTAGTAAAAAAAATTAAGCAAAAGAGTGAGTCTCAGCCCCAAGAAAAGAAAAACATAACCATGGAGGAAGAGTAGAGAGATTTTGAGAGTCCCAATGAAGTTTGTAAGACATACCAGATAGTTGATCCCGGAGGGTGTGGTTAGACATGAACTCATAAACCAACATCTGCATGTGAAGAGAGAAATGAAGGGATGAACATCAGAGTCCAATATAATAGTGCAGAATTAGATTGTTACAGGAAGAAAAGCATTGATTCTTGTCTTATAGAAAAACACTAGTTTTCCAGCACAGCAATTAACATTGATTTAACCAAAAAATGAAATACAAGTCCTCTCAATTTCACTTTAAAATGGGAGACAAACAAACGGCTGTAGCAATTTTTTTAATAAACAGTTATAATATATGCAGGGTATATACAAGCGTCTTTTACCATTCATAATTTTTCCTTTGGATACATGTACATCTTTTATATTCAGCTTAGAAAACATTGCACCTGTTACTTTTTCTCTGCTATTTTTCTTGTCTTTGTTTAAATTAGCCACAAATATGGTTTTGAATATTCAATTTTGTCCAATAAATTTTCTTTCCCAAATCTCTAGGTTTGCCCTCATCCATTTCATACTGGATTTAACTCTGTTCCTCAACTATTCAAGTCATGCAAATTGATTATAGTCAAGATAGAGTGGAAAGGAAGAATGCATATAATTTAAGAAAGTGTAGCTGAATTTAAGGGTGTACCTGTTCCCCTTCATCATCACAGTATCCAATCAAAGACACCAGGTTTCGATGATGTACCCTTGACAATAATTCTATTTCTGTAAGAAACTCCTTTTCACCCTGTAATGATCCCTCCTGGGCACGTTTTATGGCCACAACAGTACCATCAGCTAGAATACCTTTGTAGACCTTCCCATATCCTCCTTGTCCAACTTGAGTGGAGACATTAAAATTGTTTGTCGCTAGTTTCATTTCCTCATAAGTGAAGTCTTTAACACCATCAATTTTGATGGATATTGTAGACGCTGCAGAAAAGACAACATGGAACCACGTTACATAATAAGATGACGGATGTGTACTGTTAGTTAATATCTCTCCTTTACTGTAAGGTATAATTTCCCTAAATTCAGATTTTTGCCTTAGGGATGAAAAATGCATGTCAATGGCCGTGATAATATGGGTTCTGAATGGTCGAAATAAGCATTTGAGTCTGTTGCTAAAAACTAGAAGTGTGAATGTTATCCATGTGTCACATTTTAAGCAAAGAGAAAGTATCAAAGCTACAAATATGTATCATCAAGATACTCTTATCCTCGAACCCAGCAGAAAGAGTGGGTTTGGTGCTGAACAATATGATCATAGACTTGTCTAGACTTCAAAACCCACTGTGAGGGTCAAGGTGATGAAGATTGTATAGCTTTGATAGACTATACCAGTTGATTTAGATCAAGAAGAAAGGGATGAGAAGAGAAGAAGAAAGGAAATGAGAAGGGAAGAAGGAGATGAGAATCAGAAGAAGAGATGAGAATCAGAAGAAGGGATGAGAAATAGAAATCAAGAGAAACAATTCTCAATAATATTTAATAACTTATAACTCTACTTCAAAATAATCACATCAGGCCCTTTATATATGGATGCCAAAACCAAAAATCAGGACTCCTAATCTAATTCTAACAGTACGAAAGATAAATACTAACTAATTTTCAAATAAATAAATAAATCCTAAAATAATCCACAATATTTATCCAACCCCAGCACAGTCCCCATCAAAGGCCTTGAATCAAAACATTGCATGCCCATAATACCATTCTTTTAACATCTTTAATAAATGAATCCATCTTTGGCTTTATGTTTCCAGTCATCTAAGGCTAGCAATAAAAGATTAGGATATGCATAATTTGTCTCCAGCAATTTTTAAGCGGGTTATCTTGAACCAAGTGTTTTATATAGAGCCTAATTATTAGACTTCCGAACAATTTATACAAGTTGGATTAAGTCAACAGAAAGGCTACTGCAATGCAAACACATACATGAGATAACCTACACCGAAAACGCGAAACAAAGAAATGAAGTCGAACTTATCCAAAAAAAGGAGCAGAGATATTGCTAATAAGTACAAACACTTCTAAGATGGTACCATGTTTGTTGGACACATGTTAGATATTAACACTTCTTGGACAAACATCTGATGAGATCCTAGTTAAAAACAAGAATCCAAAACTTACAATGTTTGGTTGGCACTTCTTGAAAACTCTTCAACACATTACCAGAAACGCATTGAAGCAAGGATAGTCAGTTTCTTTTAAAAAGTTGTAATTGTGTAGAGCCATCAATAAACGTTTGAATTTTTTTTTTTTTTTACACTTGACTTCACTTAATGGAAATAGAAGAAATGGAAGAAAACGCCAAAGCGTTAGCAGGGGAGGAATCACCATAATTATAAATCAATTGACGGAATTGGATTTTGCTTATAATATATGGCCCATAGATTTATTTTTCATAAACACATGTTATTATACATAAAACCTATATTTATTGTTGCCATGTCATCAACATGTCCTTTACTTTATCAATATTTTCCATGTCAGCGAGCCAGTGTAAACTGGCATTCATGTCTAGAGTATGATATGTGCTTTAGATCCATTGCCCCTATCCAGTTGATACATCTAAATATTACACGTGGTGTTGCTTTGCCAGATTCAACCCAACCTGCTCCCGTGCATTAGAACTTCATGCAGTATCTTTACAAAATATTGTGTCAGCCATTTTCAAGATGTAGTCCTGACAGGCTGACATGAGATTTTTTTTTTTTTTTGCAAGTAAAATATTTCGTATTCTCAAATTCATTAGAATAAAATCAAATTCTAAATGACACAGCATAGCAAGAAAACATTTAGCTTTGTTACATGTATGCTTCTGTAAGATATCTAAGATGATGTCTCACATAGTTTTTACAAAAAAAAATTAAGAAGAAGAGAAGTTATTGATGGAAATATTTGATGCTTCTGGTAAAATTACATTAAACATTGAAAAGAAAAATTTCAACCTCCCAGTTACTAGATAGCAAAAAATCAAGGAAACCCTATATGACTATGATGAAACTACTTGGGCACATATGAAGTTATCCCATTTTTTATCTAACTCTGATCAAATCACACTAACTAATTCTCAGGAGATTGGAGGGTAATTAAGCCAAACTTAAACATGGCATTATAACAAAACTTTTGAATAATTGAGTGTAATATGCACTTTTAAGAACTTACTGAGAAAACTTTCCAGCTTCCTAGTTCACATATAATAGACGAGACAAAATCAAATTTAATATTTGCCCCCGTTAGCTATAATGGTGCATAGGACAACATGCCTACATCGGAAGAAAGCAAATCAAGACTTCTTCATAAAATGTCAGTATCATAAGTATCTGTTTGTTGCAGAATCAAAACCCATGAGATCTGTGTCCAATCAGAGATATTTGGAACTTGTAATGCAAAATCTTGACATATCTACTTTCTACATTTGATATTTGTAGCCATAAGATACTCACAATGACGTCTTTTCGAAGCTACATGGTGTTTCCTTATGTGCAACCTCAAGATAAGAAGCGACACAATTGCAGATAAGGTAACTGCACCTGCAATTGCACCCACTACAATGCCAGCTAGTGCACCCTTGCTTAGACCAGAAGTTGAAGAGGGGAAAATCTCTGCAATAGAAATAAGAATCCAGAGCACAAACAGATCAAAATTGATGCAACAATATCCCTCCCTCCATCCATCATTGAATATATAAAATGCAAGCTTGATTAAGCAAGTACACAAGTTGAGACTTTAGGGACATATGGTCTGACTTTGTTTGCCTTTTAAGTCAAGGTACCACACTTATTGATTGATCATTCTACATCTTAATAAAAAATTAATGGATTCTGTAGCCACTACAGTAGACGAAAAAGAAATATTAGAGGGGTCAGTAAAGAAAAATGCTCAGAAAACAACAGCTGTGATGCCAAGAAAGAACTTAGTTTCAATGTGAAGATGAACAAGCAATTACAGTAGTGGCACAAAAACTAAGCAATTTGGACATGTCACATGCAAGTATGCACAAGATTTCCCCATATGTAATATATGCACAAATGGTTGTGTCTGCACACCACATCATCCCACTCACACTACATAATAGAAGAACATCATCAAACATGTTCGACACAATTCTTTTGTGGAAAACCAGGTCGTACATTAGATCATTAATGTCAGTTGGATCATAGCTCTTTTTGCGTCCACTAATTCTTTTCTAAATTCTAAGGAATCGAACAAAGTTTAACACCATGATAGGGATGATTATCACTGTTGTGCACATGCAGGGAAGTTTAAATGGCCCAGATTTTAGATAGAGCAGGATAAGAGATTCACAACCTTCTCCAGCAAGAGAAAAGACAAAAATACCTATTAATATTGTCACAAGTTCTACTTCATCAATGTTCCCAAGCAAAACATGTACGCTAAGGGTTAAGAGACAAACCATTTATATAAGGATCCAATAGTGTGAATTTAATGAGTTCATAAGGTCCAAATATTTCACTGTCAGGAATTGTCCATCCCGTGAACTTGCCCTGAATTCGTAGAACCTCACTCTTATTGAATTTAGAAGAGCTGTTGTCAACGTAAATAGGAAAAATCTTCAAATCCATCCTTAATCGAGGGCCTTCTTGCCAGAAAATGGAAGCAATGTTTAGCTGATAAAGGTTCACACTAAGACCAGAGGTCAGGTACACTTCAAATGGATCAATATATGGCAAGAAATCTGAGAACCCAGGACTTTTCAACCGATAGCCAACAAGCAGAGGTGCAGCACAGAAGCAAGGTACAGGAGATGCAGGGGCATATTCATAAGGAGGTGGGCATCCAGGAGTGGGACAACTAACAGTGGAGTTTGTTGAGTTCTGGATATGACTGACAACTCTCTGGATATGACTGACATCTTCACTCTGGGATGCACATAACTGGACCAGGTTTGTATTTAAGCATAGAGGATTTCCTCGAAGCCTGAAAGTTGTTTAAAGAAAAACAGCGAGAGCAACATACCTTTTCTTAAATTCTATAAGATATATACAAAAGGACAAGAAATATATCACTGCAGGTGAAGGTGGTAAGCTAGTAAGCAAACCTGACGGTGACATTTGAAGGGACAAAAACACTGCCTGAAATATTTGAAAGGCTATTGTTCTGCAGGTCCCTGCAGTATCAAAGAGTCAGTGTTCCAGTAACTAAAATTAATCAACCAGAAAGATGAATCTTCAACTGTGTACTCAGTAAAACAACTATCACACACACACGTTTTTTCAGGTCTTACACGATAAGAGTCTCGGTTGCATTAAAAGTCCTATTCTGCCAAATAATTGATGGAACAGAACCATTCAATATATTGTTCGCAAGTAACCTGCAATGTGGAATCACTCACAAAGTCATATTTCCATAAATGATTCCATCAAGGACATCAGTATCCCTGTACCTGATGGTACTTTGTAATTGATACTTTAAATGTGAATGTTTCAAAAATCACATAATAGAGAGAGAAAAAGAATCAACAAGAGTTGAAGAATGCTCACAATCTCTGAAGTTTAGGAAGACCCGAAAAGTTGGTAGAGATAGTTCCAGTAAGACTATTGTTTGACAAATCACTGCACAATATAAATTGATCATTTATAGCTGAAATTTCCAGTAGTCAAGTATACACATAAGGAGCGCACTATATACAAAATATCACAATAATCAAAGATAAATTGTTCTTACATAAATGTTACGTTTGCAGAAAATTGATATGATGGTATGGATCCATTGAGCTGGTTTCCACTGAGGTCTCTGAAATTAGATGTCATCACTTAAGAATAGGAATGGCTATTCCCAACCATAGCAAAAAAAAAATTATTTACTAGCAGTCTAGCACAATTTCCTTTTGGGGTAATTGACTAGCAGAAATTGACTAACAACTGCCAACACATAAATCCTCATTCTGCCTAGTGTACATAATGTTTCCTAGAAGCAGCTCATAATTCAATCATTTCAAATGACTATAAGGACAATGACAATAGAAACATCCGTAGGATCCATCATGAAACAATTCCCTACATGACTTCTGCAAGGTACCCATTAACTTACATATATGCAAGATTTGGTATCCTGCTCAGGTCAGGGATTGATCCTTGCAAGCTGCAGTTCCTAAGACTCCTGATACAAAATGAAATGTAACCAATCTTAGCTCAAATATTTCTCAATTATGACCATGTGCATCCTTCTTAAGTGTCATTTGGAAAGCATATGAAGTTTCCAGGAATTTTCACTATTTGCAACTTACATAAAATAGAATGAGAGATTAGATGACAAAGAACTTTATGATATCGTATCTACTAGTCAAACTGAACAAAAAAGGCTGATCTTCCCTGTATGATAAGGCCATCAATTGAATTCATGGTGCTTTTGTTGGGCAGAACCAAAGAAAAAGGGCTATAATAACAATAATCAAAACCTGCTTTCTCAAAGGGGCCCACAGTGGCTTGTAGAAACAAGAAAGCATAGACAGGATTCTTTCTCTGACTACATACATCTTCTAAAGAAAGAAAGAAGAATTGTGCAGCTAAAAGATTGCATAGAATCAAGTGTACTTCAAAACATAAACTGCTAACTGTATAAACTTACAATTTCAACAACTGATACATATTGCCATAGGAAGGAGGTATTGTACTTCCGTCAAAGTGGTTGTTATCAAGTTGACTGCAAAAAAGATAGGAAAAGCATGGGAAAAAGAAATAAGTTCTATCTCGAAAGATTATTTCTGTGCTTCCACAAAGGAGAAGAATTAACTTCCATAGTGGAATAACAAATAGGAGATATAAAGTAACACTAAAGAGCTGATCTAAGGACAGAGAGAGATTCACCTACACACATTAAAAAAGAAAACATGTGCATAGAGGGGGTTGTAAGTTTAGTGTACATGGAGCAAGATTCACCTCCACACATTTAATGGTTTGTAAGTTTTGTTTGTGACAGTATCATAGTGGGGCCATTAACTACTAAATTGGTGAAATGCTCAGGCCAACAACCGTGAATTTGTGGGTTCAAGTCAGTCCAAATCTGAGGCCAACCTAGTTGTGTATATGTTGTCGAAGGCCAGGTTTGCATCCAATCCATCCTGCCCAACACCCTTGGTTAATAAAGACAAAGTGGGTGACAACTTTTATTTGCCAATGGCATTGGCATACAACATGTTCTAATTCATGCACCTTTTACCTTTACTTTGTCAAATCTGTAAGCGCTCCATCACCATGGTTCAAAATGCATCTTTTTAAATCATTAAAGATTACTTACACACATAATATTCTTACCAAATGGAAACATTTCCTTTCATGATGTTGCCCCCGTGATCTCTCTCTAGTTTTGCTATTATTAAACTCACACAATACGCGGTCCATTCACTTGCAAATGTTTCTCTGTAAACGAATTAATATTTCAACTGCATATTCAATTTCACATATTTGTGTTTTGGCGTACTCTTCAACTTTCTAGACATAGTAGGTAAGGCTATTAGACAAACCGAGTAGCTCGAGCTCGGCCGTCAAGCCTATTCATTTTGTAATATGAACTGAATCCAGTCAAATTATTCAAGCTCGTTTTGTATCTGAGCTATTCGCGAGCTTGAGCTAACTCGGTTACTATCCTATAAAATATTTTTCCCACCAGCAGTTATTGCATAACCAGTTGAAGAAAAAAGACACTATATCCTAATCAGAGGTAATTTTGTAAAACTAATAAATAAACATTCGACCACCAAATCTAGGAAAAACTGAACTCATTTGCGTGGGCATGTATCCATCCCCTTTCTCTTTCTCTGTGTGCATTTAATAAAAAATCTTGAGCCCCAAAGCATCTCTTCTCCACTCTCTCTGTTGTTCCCCTTCACAGGCAGTCTGTCTCCTTCTTCCCAGTCTGTTTGTAACCATGAGACCACCATTCTTCCTCCATTTTTCGTCTTTCTCGATGTTGTTTCAGATGTAGTCCATTGGAGCTTTGCTTTCCATTAGTTGGAACTTTTGAAGCAAGAATTGAGAGGAGGCAGTCTCTCTCCTTCTTCCTAATCTGTTTGTAACCATGAGACCACCATGCTTCCTCCATTTTTCGTCTTTCTCTATGTTATTTCAGATGTAGTACATTGGAGCTTTGGATTCCATTAGTTGGAATTTGATGCAAGAATTGAGAGGAGGGGTTATTGACTGCTTGTTCATTTGTCTCACGCACATAGAGATTGCGTTATTCTTTCAATGGTGAAATTTTAGGGTCCTATGGATTTCATTCTCAATTAGTTTTTATTTTCCTTAATTTTTGGTTTTGTGGATAGCTTTGTGTTTTGGTTTGTTCAAGTGGACATGTTATTTGCTTACAAATTGTTTACTTACAGTTAATAGTTCAGATTTTGCGGGTTTGGGACAGAAAATTAAGCCTTTTAGGGTCAATTTTTATATTATGCTTCAAATTTTGAAGAATCGAGCTTGGGCCAAGCTGAGCTCGAGCAGAAATCCAGGCTTGGTAGCCGAGCTCAAGTAGAATCTGACCACCACCAATCTCGCTTGAACCGGGCTTCAGCACAGCGAAGCTCGGCTCCATCAACACATTTAACATCAGGTTGAATACTAATTAGCATGCTTTTCTTCACATTTATAACAGAAGAAAAAATGAAAGTTTTTGCAACAATAAGGCAACATTGCAATATTCCTCACAAGCATAACATCTAACCAAAGCCCTAACAACCATGTGAAGGTGTTTTCTTGTCTCATTCGCAAGACACAATGGCAACCTGTACTACTTTTTGGAGCACCCACGTTTGGCACTTTATAAGTTCCTTGAAAGTGGAGAAGATTTGGACTATGTAACTGGCTCTATTGGATGTATTATACGGTTGACCCTCTAATGATTAATACTCAAATAGTTCAATAATTCATTAGTCAATTGTTTTGAGGAACCAACTTTGCTGATGGATAAATGATAATTCTATTACTTACTAGTTACTCAAACATTGAGAAAGAACTATAGAATTAATTCTCAGGAACATATATGTGTTGCATGTATATATGTGTGCTTTCATAGTGAAGAAACTGCTTACGGATGGATGATGTTTAACAAAATGAAGACAATTTAATATTCAATAGTTCTTCAATTAATATTTTTGGGACATCTAACTGCAGTGGCTTCGATAAGGGTAAGGCTTATATTATGAGAGAAGATTAACTCTTTTTGACAAGATGATTACTGTTACTGCCTGAAACTGTTGATTTTCCAAGTAATTGTGGACAATTGTTTTTCTCGACAAGGATATTCACATTCCATTACATTTTTTTTCTCTCAAGTAGTTTCTTCAAACTCATACACCAAACCGTTTGCATCCCAGGGAAGACCTAAGTCTAAACAATCATAGTATATATATTTTTTCTAGTGATAACAAGATTTCTTCGGGCAGAGAAATTGGGCATGCAAGCAAAAGAGCCATCCTAAGGTTACAAAGCAAAATCAGTAAAGAAACCCAAGATTTCAATGAATACAAAAGGTGACATGTGTATTACATACACATATGCATATACTGATAATTTGTGGTCATATACTATCAATTCCATTTTAACCAAAAAAACTTGTACTCCACATATATATACTGAAGATAGAAACCATACAGTATCAGCAAATTTGGCAAGTCAGCAAGCCCTGGTGGAAGATACCCTGATAAGTTGTTATTGTCGAGGAGCCTGGAGCATATTACATAGTTAACGACAAACCAGATGTTCAAAAAGCACTAGAAACACAAGGATACCAGACTGCCAACTTACAAGTGAACAAGACTGGGTAGTCTAGACAGCTCAGGTGGGATTGGCCCACTAAGTGAATTGTTGTTCATGTGGCTGTTCCCATGATTAAACAACAAAGAACAATGATAGAATTAAATTTAAGATTGACCACAGGAAAAATGCTAGCAATTGAATATGTAGAACAAAAATCACATGAGGCAACAAAAGTTGGTTAAAAACATTGCAATTAAGCTAGACAGGATTAAAAAGAAACCCTTACAAGTGCTTTGTTTTATTCAAATTCGCAAAAGATTTAGGTATTGGTCCAGATATTAGATTCTGGTCAATTTGTATTCTGTCCAAGTTAGGAAGATAACCAAGCTCTTCTGGCAATGAACCTGTTAGCTGATTTCCATTCAGGAGCCTGAAAGCACAGAAGATTATCATAGAATGAGAAATCCAATATGTAGAGCATTTTTTTTTTCTTTTTTCAATACCATGGCAAGAATAAGATCAATGCCCATTTCTAGATTACACTAGATCAATTATAAGAACTTACTCCCCCTCCCAACCAAAGAAAAAGAAACAGACTCACAAGAGATTCAAAGACATAATACTGCCTATCTCCTTTGGTATGCTACCACCTATCTGGTTCCACATAACATCCCTGGAAGAGAAAAGAAAAGAAAACATACATCACTAGATGAAAAAAGAATACTAGAAGCCACTGTACGCCAGAAAGAATTTAATCCTCAAGGAAGTTGAACGTAGCAAAAAGAAGCATGCAAGTAATGGCAAGGATAGGTTTTCAATGTATTCTGACTTACAAAATTTCCATATAAGATAAGAGGCCTAGCTCTGGTGACAAACTTCCTGAAAGATTCATATTCAATAGTTGCCTGCAAAGAAGAAATAAAGCAACATCTTACTATTGCCAAGTTGGAAGGTAATGAAAGACTAAATTACATAAGTTTCTGAATATGTTAATGTTCACTCCCAGGGTGCGAGCTCTCGCAAAATATAAATAAAAACACACATGAAGGAAATCGATTAATCATCAAAATTAAGTTAAACTGAGAGACTTCATTTTCACCTAGAAATTCCGAACAAAACAATTTCAAGGGTTGCCTACATTCACAGTTTACCATATTCCAGAACTTTTTTAATCCAACATTGACAACCGGAAGCCATTCTTTAGTTCTGTAGCATATTACCTAATACATACTGTCAGACTCATGACCAATTCTGAATGAGTGGAGAGACCAACAAGACCATATAATAGTCTGGGAGGCCTTCCAATGCCAAAATGTTGGACAAGTTCTGACAGTCCCCCTCACCGAGAAGTGCAGTTACACCAAAACAAAATTGAGAAATGGGATGTTTATACAGATTTTGTTCCTACCAGAATAATGCTGAAACTTGTAAAATTTTCTAGTGTCACATCATTGACTTTGCACCATACTTGTAAATTTACCAAATTCATAAAGATAGTGAAACTGTCATGGAAGATCAGGCAAATTGCGGCTTTGGATCATTGGTTTCCAAAAATTCAGCAGTCTCCATTTCACTTTAACTAAAGAAATTGCAAAACTAACACAATATGAAACAAAAGGATGTCTTGCACCCAAGATGGAACTTTCGTATGTTTCAACCAACTTATATAGAGTAAATATAAAAGAATAACAATCAATAATATATATAATGCAAAAAAAGAATAAGTTGTTAAGATTCACATTCACAATGCTCCAATACAGAACAAAAATTAGGTGAAGACAGAGATCATACAATTCCCAAACATGCAAATAGCCATCGCCCAATGATGTATTGAAGCACAAAACCCCTGTCCAGTTTGATGTACATGGATCTCCACGATTCCAATTACTAAGATTCCGGTTTGGATCAATCAAACTTTTCTTAATGGCACGCAATGCATTCACTACATACAATAAAATAAGAAAGTTACATTAATTTCATAAACACAATTAATAATACCTCTGTACACATTCCTTTCTAAAGCTCTCATGTATTGGGTTGTCTCATGATTTAACAGAAAATATGGCCCTTGATAAAACATAATGGAGAAACATGATTCATGTAGCCGACCCCAAATAGTTGGAAAAAAGGCTTGGTTGAGCTGAGGTTGATGTACTGGGGTGTCCAAGATGAACCATAATCTACATAATCTCCTAACATCCAGTGCAGTCCCACTGGCTTTCCCACGGAAGAAATCATATAACCAAACATGTAAGCACCTTCATATTGACGCTTAAACAGAGAAAATCAACAGGAGAACACAATTCAGTATTTTATGGTGGTTATGTACATGCATTAATCCGATCAACTTGTATACATAATAAGTGAGCAATGTATGCTCCAAGCAACCAATCCTAGCCTAGAATCTAAAATCTGTCATAATCAGAATGCTATAATTCTCGGTTTTATTATTTCAACTTGAAAGCGAGTGAGAAGCTTCCCAGAGTTCTGAAAAGAGGGCTCACTTTGATGACAGTACTTGAAAATGTGACAAGTGGATGTTGTAGAAACCATAAGAATGGTTATTTCAGCTTTTGAAACCACAATATCTCTCCTGATTGACGCTTAGACCTCCAGAGTCCAGAATCACAAAACCCCTATTCTGATTGGCCATGCAAAGAGGTCTTTCGAGGTTCTGTACAGTGGCAGGCACCTCTCTATGTGAAGAAACACTTACATCCATCCTGGTGAGTCTGCTCTCATCCTGGCTAGTTATGGAGCTCTGACGCAAGTAAGTCCTATTAGGGTCTTGAAACCTAAATCCATGTCTGATGAAGGGAATTATTGATTCCTGTGTCGACAAATTCTTATTTGATATTATATCTTTCACAATTTCTGCATGACTTTCTGTCAAAACTCCCTAATCCCTAAAACTTAGGAAAATAAATGTTTTCATATTAATATGAAAGAGTTTTTTTATCAGTGCATATGGAGATCATGCAGTAAATTACAATTAGATATGTGATAACGTGATTCATGATTGCAAATTTCCAAAGGGTTCTCACTTCAAGAGAGTGAGCTTACATCCTAAAATTAGTTCTTTGCTTGATGTTTTATAAATTCCCATAAAATCTCCTCTCACAATCACGATTGCTGATTCAGAAATTACGAAGATCTTAAACAAAGTAATTCCTTAAGTACATAGAAGCAGAGATTGATGATAAATAAGAGGAAGCAAAATCAATTGAAATTACCTTCTATAGGGTTGGTAATCTGACTTTCTGCTCCAATTTGGAGCAGAAAAAAACAACACAACCACAAGAGCAACATCGCTCCACTAATGGAACTTGACTGTGTCATCTCAAGAGCAATTGTCAAGTATCTCTCACAACTCCGTACAAGTTTTTTACCTGTCACGATCGTCCACCTGACAAAAAAGGAGTCAGACTTCAAAACCCTTTCATTGATACTAACAAACAGCTCAAACACCAATTCTCAAACAATTTAAAACAATCACCTCTCGAAGCGTTTATATTTTCAAAAAGAAAACACAGAATTCTCAAAGAAAGATAAAAGCGGAACAATTAGGGAAAAAAGACAACGAAAGATAGTTTACTAAAGAACTCCCATGAATTGACAAAAATGAATAAGAAAAGCAAGTGGGTGTGTGTGTAAATATATATATAAATATATGTTTGCTTACAGGGATGTAGCAAGTGATGATGATATTGAGAATAGGAAGATAAGAGTTGGGAGGGTGGTGAGCCTGAATTGGATAAAATGTTTCTGTTGGGAAAAATAAGGAGGAGGAGAAGAAGAAGAAGAAGAAGAAGAAGAATGGGGTGTGAAATTGACTGGGTCGCCATTATAAGTGCTGTAAAGAGATAGTTTATGAGGATGGTGATGATAGCAGCCAGCCATCTTTGTCATCTGCTGTTTAAAATATTGAATACTGCTGGGCTCCTACGAAGAATCGTTCTTCCTGGTTAACTAATGCGGTTGGGCTGAATTGACTTTGAGTGGAGTTGTTGCTCAGCAGTTATGATGCGACAATCATACGCATGAATCAGAGAGAGAGAGAGAGTGGTGAAAATAAGACAAAAACGGATACACCCGCCCAATAAGAAGAGGAGGGTATCTTCGGATCTTCACCGTTCACACTTCACACCAGTTAGATTTGAGGTGGGGCCCTAACTGGATATAATTTACAACCCTCTGGATAAACAAGTGGAACTTATAATTAATTGTGAATTGAGATATCTTCTGTTTGAATTTGACCATTCTCAGGGTTAGGTTACATCAATTTATCTTTCATAAATTATTTAATTTGGTTGTGAAAAATTCATCTTTTATTAGATGAAAATTAGTCGAGGTGAGTCATATGACCCTTTAATACTCCCTATAATACAATATATGTCAATTGTGATAGTATGCATCATATGATACAATTAAAGAATAATAAACTTTTTTCTAAGAGGAGGGTGGAGGGTCAAAGCAATATGATATCGGGATCGCGTCGCCTTACGGCACCAATAACAGTCATTTCTGATAACAAAAAAGGTGAAGGAAAGGGGAGCTAAGTGGAAACGTTCAAAAAAAGAAAAAAGAGTCTCGATCGATCGCCCTCTAGCAAGTGNACTCACAACTCCGTACAAGTTTTTTACCTGTCACGATCGTCCACCTGACAAAAAAGGAGTCAGACTTCAAAACCCTTTCATTGATACTAACAAACAGCTCAAACACCAATTCTCAAACAATTTAAAACAATCACCTCTCGAAGCGTTTATATTTTCAAAAAGAAAACACAGAATTCTCAAAGAAAGATAAAAGCGGAACAATTAGGGAAAAAAGACAACGAAAGATAGTTTACTAAAGAACTCCCATGAATTGACAAAAATGAATAAGAAAAGCAAGTGGGTGTGTGTGTAAATATATATATAAATATATGTTTGCTTACAGGGATGTAGCAAGTGATGATGATATTGAGAATAGGAAGATAAGAGTTGGGAGGGTGGTGAGCCTGAATTGGATAAAATGTTTCTGTTGGGAAAAATAAGGAGGAGGAGGAGGAGAAGAAGAAGAAGAAGAAGAATGGGGTGTGAAATTGACTGGGTCGCCATTATAAGTGCTGTAAAGAGATAGTTTATGAGGATGGTGATGATAGCAGCCAGCCATCTTTGTCATCTGCCGTTTAAAATATTGAATACTGCTGGGCTCCTACGAAGAATCGTTCTTCCTGGTTAACTAATGCGGTTGGGCTATATTGACTTTGAGTGGAGTTGTTGCTCAGCAGTTATGATGCGACAATCATACANTAAAGAGATAGTTTATGAGGATGGTGATGATAGCAGCCAGCCATCTTTGTCATCTGCTGTTTAAAATATTGAATACTGCTGGGCTCCTACGAAGAATCGTTCTTCCTGGTTAACTAATGCGGTTGGGCTGAATTGACTTTGAGTGGAGTTGTTGCTCAGCAGTTATGATGCGACAATCATACGCATGAATCAGAGAGAGAGAGAGAGTGGTGAAAATAAGACAAANGAGGTTCTGTACAGTGGCAGGCACCTCTCTATGTGAAGAAACACTTACATCCATCCTGGTGAGTCTGCTCTCATCCTGGCTAGTTATGGAGCTCTGACGCAAGTAAGTCCTATTAGGGTCTTGAAACCTAAATCCATGTCTGATGAAGGGAATTATTGATTCCTGTGTCGACAAATTCTTATTTGATATTATATCTTTCACAATTTCTGCATGACTTTCTGTCAAAACTCCCTAATCCCTAAAACTTAGGAAAATAAATGTTTTCATATTAATATGAAAGAGTTTTTTTATCAGTGCATATGGAGATCATGCAGTAAATTACAATTAGATATGTGATAACGTGATTCATGATTGCAAATTTCCAAAGGGTTCTCACTTCAAGAGAGTGAGCTTACATCCTAAAATTAGTTCTTTGCTTGATGTTTTATAAATTCCCATAAAATCTCCTCTCACAATCACGATTGCTGATTCAGAAATTACGAAGATCTTAAACAAAGTAATTCCTTAAGTACATAGAAGCAGAGATTGATGATAAATAAGAGGAAGCAAAATCAATTGAAATTACCTTCTATAGGGTTGGTAATCTGACTTTCTGCTCCAATTTGGAGCAGAAAAAAACAACACAACCACAAGAGCAACATCGCTCCACTAATGGAACTTGACTGTGTCATCTCAAGAGCAATTGTCAAGTATCTCTCACAACTCCGTACAAGTTTTTAACCTGTCACGATCGTCCACCTGACAAAAAAGCNACATCGCTCCACTAATGGAACTTGACTGTGTCATCTCAAGAGCAATTGTCAAGTATCACTCACAACTCCGTACAAGTTTTTTACCTGTCACGATCGTCCACCTGACAAAAAAGGAGTCAGACTTCAAAACCCTTTCATTGATACTAACAAACAGCTCAAACACCAATTCTCAAACAATTTAAAACAATCACCTCTCGAAGCGTTTATATTTTCAAAAAGAAAACACAGAATTCTCAAAGAAAGATAAAAGCGGAACAATTAGGGAAAAAAGACAACGAAAGATAGTTTACTAAAGAACTCCCATGAATTGACAAAAATGAATAAGAAAAGCAAGTGGGTGTGTGTGTAAATATATATATAAATATATGTTTGCTTACAGGGATGTAGCAAGTGATGATGATATTGAGAATAGGAAGATAAGAGTTGGGAGGGTGGTGAGCCTGAATTGGATAAAATGTTTCTGTTGGGAAAAATAAGGAGGAGGAGAAGAAGAAGAAGAAGAAGAAGAAGAATGGGGTGTGAAATTGACTGGGTCGCCATTATAAGTGCTGTAAAGAGATAGTTTATGAGGATGGTGATGATAGCAGCCAGCCATCTTTGTCATCTGCTGTTTAAAATATTGAATACTGCTGGGCTCCTACGAAGAATCGTTCTTCCTGGTTAACTAATGCGGTTGGGCTGAATTGACTTTGAGTGGAGTTGTTGCTCAGCAGTTATGATGCGACAATCATACGCATGAATCAGAGAGAGAGAGAGAGTGGTGAAAATAAGACAAAAACGGATACACCCGCCCAATAAGAAGAGGAGGGTATCTTCGGATCTTCACCGTTCACACTTCACACCAGTTAGATTTGAGGTGGGGCCCTAACTGGATATAATTTACAACCCTTTGGATAAACAAGTGGAACTTATAATTAATTGTGAATTGAGATATCTTCTGTTTGAATTTGACCATTCTCAGGGTTAGGTTACATCAATTTATCTTTCATAAATTATTTAATTTGGTTGTGAAAAATTCATCTTTTATTAGATGAAAATTAGTCGAGGTGAGTCATATGACCCTTTAATACTCCCTATAATACAATATATGTCAATTGTGATAGTATGCATCATATGATACAATTAAAGAATAATAAACTTTTTTCTAAGAGGAGGGTGGAGGGTCAAAGCAATGAGATATCGGGATCGCGTCGCCTTACGGCACCAATAACAGTCATTTCTGATAACAAAAAAGGTGAAGGAAAGGGGAGCTAAGTGGAAACGTTCAAAAAAAGAAAAAAGAGTCTCGATCGATCGCCCTCTAGCAAGTGCCTAGCTTAGTGTCGAAGATTGACGAGAATATCGCCACTTATCACAATCGTGGTCGTTTGAAACATAGGGGATGTTGTCACCATAAAATTGGCGGACATGGCACCGGCGGGGGTAGTCAATGCAATCCTCGATCATGGAGGGCCAATAATAACCCAAGTTAATCCTTGTTTTATGTTTTTCTTATCCCAAGTTAATTTCTTCATCCAAATTTAGTTATATGAATAGTAATTTACATTAAATGTACACACACATGTTTTTCGTATGCTAAGATAAAAATAATTATTTTGTAAAATAATATAACACACATTTTCTTGATATAATTATTTTGTATAAAAGAATAATTGACTAAACATTACCAAACCTTATAAAGAGCGACTAAGTGATGGTTTTAGTTTTATTCTCTTTGGCACATTGTTTTTCACTATTTTACGCTTTGATGTCATTCAGTGTAAAAAGTCAATGTAGTTAACTTGTAAAATTGAACATGAAAATTATCAATAGCTCTAATGATATTTTATTCAATTATCTTTGGTAAACTTGGTCAGCAAATTAATCATAATACTTCTCCTCGTGCCTTGAAAAGGTTAAGATGATTGAATTAAACATGTTGAAAAGTAAGCGTCCATTCGTCAGTCTTGCCGCAAAAGAAAAAGACTCTCAGTGCACAGATAAATAATAATTTCAAATAACTTCTAAAAATTGACATGGTCATAACAAAATTTTTAAAGACTTTTTCTAAAATCAATGCTAATGCTGAATAAGAGGCAACGATAAAGTGCCGTAGAAGCAAAAGTGTTATAAAGGAAGAATTCAATTTAATATGCTTTTAAAGACGGGTTTTATTACGGTGGTATGGTTATTACACTATAATCTAAATATCTCGGGTTTTAATGCGGTGGTACAGTGCACTGTTGCACATTGTGCGGCCACTATAGAATGAAAATCTCTACATGGGTACAGCATGTCGGAAACTAAAGATACAAATTGAAGGTCGTCCCAAGGTTCCAAACAAAAATGAAATGGTAATAGAAGACAAGTTGATAAAACAATGTAATCACTACCTCCCCCCCCCCCTTTCCCTTTTTATAGAAACAAACAATCATGTTAGTTTAGGATTCTGGACGGCAAGTGGATTACAGGCGAAAGGGGTTATAGTTTTTTTTTTTTTTTTTGGCATTAGGATCGGGAATGTTTGAACGAATTTACGTATAATTCAACTATTTTACTTCTTAGTTCAGTCAAAGACAAAATATTTTACGTCAAGACTTATAAATTCATAAAGTATAAATTCTTTATAACCGCCAATTTCGACCTCAAAATATTTAAATTTATGGTTTATCTTTATTTTTGCTAGGATACCTTAGGATTTGATAAAAATTCTAGTCACGCCACTTCTAATTTACCATATCTTTAAAGACATCCCATATATTTTTTAAATCTTTACTGACACTCCTGTGAAATTAAAAGTGTTAATTAGAATATAAATTTACTAAATTGATCATTATATATTTGAGAAAAAATTTTATCCACATTTCCCCTATTTTCTAATTTTTTTATGTATTAAAATTCGAATTGATTAAAATTTTATTCGAATTAATTAAAATTTATTTTTTATGTATTAAAATTTAAATCGATTAAAAATTATATTTTTTGACGTATTAAAATTTGAACTGATTCATAACTCTATTCGAGTCGATTAAAAATTAGCTCGAATTAAATTTTAATCAACTCGCATTGAATTTTAATTAGCCTGAATTTTGATATATAAAAAAATATAAATTTTAATACATAAAAAATAAGTTTTAATCAACTTGAATCGAATTTAAATTAGCACAAATTTTAATAAGTAACAAAATATAAATTTTAATCGATTCGAAGTGAATTTTAATCGGCGCTAACAATTCAAATAAAACTCAAATCGACTCGAATTTTAATACGTAAAAAATTAAAATTTAATAAACTCGAATCAAATTGTTATTAGCTCAAATTTTAGTATATAGACAAATAAATTTTAATCAGTTTAAATTTTAATACATAGAAAAATAAATTTTAATCGGTTCAAATTTTATGTTGAAAGATTATTTAGTGTTTATGTATGGACGTTTTTAGTATTTTAGATGAATTTTTTTTTGTTAGAAATAGTAGTTTAATAGTAGAGGGTATCAGTGATATTTTTGATAATAGAAAGAATATTCTTGAAGATATTATACTAATAAACTAGAAATGACGTAGCTGTAATTTTTCCTAAAATTTGTTATAATTTGCATTAGTTATTTAGCAGATAACTACATAATAAATGTAGCAAAACATCAACTATAAATGACAAGTACAGATACTGCTATTACAATAATTTCAAACCGAAGTGTTAGGTATTAGTGGTTGTTGTTCACAAGTCCTTACTTGTGTGGCGTTTATTTCGAAGCTTTTCTTCTATACTTCTCGAAGAAAATAACCCAAATTTTGCACCAAGTGTTCGTTTGCCCAAATTACAAACTTTGACTAGAGAAGAGATAGGTTGCACCTATAAATGCAAGTATATTAATTTTTTGATAATCCATAATTGTCACAACCGCGTATTTTTTTGGCTGTGATGTAAACTCGGGTGATGCGACAACCCACAAACCATGGGTCAATTATGATTTTTTTTTGTTGATCTAGAATTTGATATCGCGAGGTATTAAACAATGAAACTCTACTATCCAAATTATATTCTTAGGTCAGAAAAAAGGCTTTTCAGGAGTTCAGTAACACATGGCATGATTGAAGAGTAGAATAGTGTCATTTGTACCATGCGGTAATTCGATTAAGACTTAAACCACGGCCGGCAATGTCACCTGAAATGACGAAGTAGGCTTAAGAAAGATAGAAGTTAGGTAACATGTAGAGTCGGAATTTTAATTCTTATTGCATTAATTTCGAGACAGACAATTGTACCATCAAAGAGAACGAATAAGACATGCCCTTCGACAAACAGCTAATTACACATTTCCCTCCACACAAAAATGCTCATTGAAAACTGCCAGACATTGTTATATGCTCATCAACACGTGGACTGTTTTACACTGATATTGTAGCCAATTCCTTTCTTTTTTTTTCCTCCCGTTTTCTGGTTCTATAAACAATTCTAAGAGCATCTCCAAATGAAGATGCTTGCCCATGTGTTGGGCCGTGCTTGCCCATGGCCTGTCGGGCTACCTTTCCATTTTCCAACCCTTGATTTACTGTCAGAATGAAGCCTGAAAACTGATCACATACACAACTAGGGTGTTTAAAACAGAGTACAAAATGAAACATTGGACAAATTCACACTTGAAACCTTTAGGGCAGGCATAAGCAAATTTTGATTTGGAACTGGCAAAACCTTACTATGTGAATGCATTGAATTGTGCCTTGTATCAGATGAATTTCTCCAGAATTGACAAATGGAAAACTTGAAATAAAAAATGATGATCTCCCAGGAGACCATGGGGTATGCACATTTTACTGCTTGGAATTGTTTTATTCCGATGATGGTTGATTCTCCCAAGTCAGGTGGCCGGATCTCTTCAATCATTTTAACAACTTCATCCATGCCGGGTCGCATGTCTGCCAACCTTGCAACGCATGCCATGGCAATTTGGAGCATCTGCACCATCTCTTCTTCAATGTTTTGTGATTTCATCAACCCAACATCAAAAACTTCAGTTTTCCATTCCTCTTTGACAACCGACTGGACCCACCTAGGGAGATCAACGGTGTCATCATGTGCTGGGGATTGAATTGATTGCTTTCCAGTAAGCATCTCAAGTAGTAGGATGCCATAACTGCACACATCCGATTTATGAGTGTGCTTTTGTGTTTCAATCACCTCAGGAGCACGGTACCCTGCATTCCTAGATGGAGTGGCAGGGAAGCTCATAAGAGGGGTTAAGCTGACATCAGAGACACAACCATATAGATTTAGGTTGAGGAGGACATTTGAGGACTTAATGTTGTCGTGAGAAAATTTTGCACCACCAACAGAATGTACATGAGCAATGCCCTTTGCAGCTCCAAGGGAGATTTTAACTCTAGAGTCCTAGTCTAACAGTTTTTCCATCACCCCGATTTCCTGTAATCACATTCAAATTTCAGTGCAGAAGACAGCGGAAATGGTGAATAGACAGACTAATGAGTTTGCTTGTACATAGTCAGATGGATGTGGTCATATCAAATTTGTCTCATATTGCAAACATCAGATAATCAGATTGCAGAAAAATTGTAGTTTTGATTTTAATGTGTAACAGGATTTATTTATTAAGAGTTCCTAGTAGTACAGCCCCTCTTTAATTTAAAAAATCAAGGTGATTGTCTGAATAAACATATTCTCTAGCATAAACTTCTAAATACAAAACTATAAGAAGTAACCGTTACAAGTTGCAAGTTACAGGTTACAATGAAGGAATCAGTTTATGGTATGAACTATGAAGAGTGGTAATAGATTTTTCTCTTCTGCATATAGTAGTAACTAGTAACATTTATTTATTTCATACTTAAGAAAATTTGCATTAGCCTAAAATCCTTCGCATTGGTCTACATGGAAACTTTGTGTAATGTTGGTTTGCAAGAATTATCTGTGAAAGAGTTGCCTCTCCATTAACTGATTGCTCAGGGTTCATCAAAATGCTTAACCAACATGTTAGAAGGTCAATTTTGTTAATTGTAATGTCATGGGAAAATGAGAAAGAAATAAAAAAGGGTGTTAAAATGCATACCATGCAAGAGTGTAGACAAGCTGCCCCCCCGAAAATAGTCATAAACAAGAGGCTTCTCATCCTTAGAGTTAATAATAAGCACGGAGAGGCACAACATTTGGGTGCTGACCCACTCTCCCTATGATGAACAGCTTCTGTTCAAATTGCTTTTTCCCCACCATGACTTCTTTCAGCCTTTTTACCACAACTGCTGTTGATTCCTCCAAGACAGCCTTATATGCAGTCCAACAGCTTCCCTTTCCCAGCATTTCAGCTGAAGCCCTCAGTAAATCCTTAAGATCAAAATTATAAGGGCAGCCTTCAAAGAAAAGCAGCTTGTTTTTCTCTGGCTCTTGCGCCCCACTACCAAATTCCTCCCTGGGTTTCTCACTCCTTCCACCACTAGCAGGCTTCCCTTTCAGCACACTATTGCCCTTACTCTCTTTTCTCTTGAGGCAGCACACGAATATGATTAGGACTACAAGAAACAGCGCCAATGCCCCTCCAACAGCGATGGCAATAATAGCGCCTAATGTGAGTTTCTTTTTGGAGCTCCTAGTGGGGAAACAAGGTTGTAGAGGTGGTCCACACAACATAGAATTCCCTACAAAGGAAGAGTTGGGAAACTTTTGGAGGGAAGATGGGATAGAACCATTAAATTGGTTGTAGCTCAAATTTAAATGCTCGAGTCTCGGGAGGGTGAGATCGGGAATGGGGCCCTAGAAGGAATTGCTCTGAGGTTCAGTCCAGTGAGTTTAGTCAAATTCTGTATTGTTTGCGGAATGTTGCAGGTGAATGAATTATATGAGAGATCTAGTATGCTCAATCCAGGGGAAAGGGAGGCGGGAATATCACCGGAGAAGTTAGTACCCTCAGTAAATCTAACTTTCCAAGCGTGTTGGACAGGATGGTGCAGTAAGTCCGACACCAGGAATTCGAAGAGCAAGAATGCATGTACCATCTGGAGTCCAAGTGATGCCTACCTAGCAGGATTCCAGTTAAACTTATGACCATGTGGAACAGCAGCAGCAAAAGCAAAAAGGGCCTGTTTATCAGAGTCAAAATCACCAAGAGCCAGAGGCAGAAGTGTAACTGTGACAAAGAGGGAGAATCATAGTTGCCCGGGAGAGCAAAGTTTCATGAGGAATTGTTCAGACTTACGAAAGTAAAAGTAGAGCAGGTTTCCATGTTTTCCTGGTTTAGAACAAAGACGATGGAACAACAATAAATACCCAAACATCAAATTGGATCAAGGAACACCAATACTCATAGAAGAGAAAAGAAGACCATCCTTTTGTCATAGGCATAGAATCTAATGAAGATTGCCAAATTGCTCACAACACGAAATTTAAAGGCAACAAGCTTTTGTCTACGCTATAACACAAAAAATTCAAAAGTGAACTGAAGCAAAAACATTAGAAGCAACATCTCAAGTAAAATGTTTTTCTTGCATGTTGCTACTCAAGATGCAGAATACTTCCATATCAACAGAAAAGTACAAGGAAAAAAGGTCATCTCCCTTCATGCTTAAAAAAACCCTACACAGTTCAATTAACTCAAACATGTCCAGAAATTCAGAGCTATTGAGAGTTCATTCCATATAATACCATCCACATTCATCAGCTAATAATATCCAAAAGCAGACGTTCTTTTTTTTTTCTCCTAAAATGAAAAGAAGGAAACATCCTGTCTAAATCTCTTGTAATGCCATCTGAAATAAGCAGAAGTATATAGACTCAGGTTTGCCCTTTGAAGTTTGAAGGTCATAATTGAAATTCCAGGCTTTGATTCTCAACTAAATTTCTAAACCAAACCAAAAAACACCGACTTTCGAGCCAATACTAAAGACCAATAACTATTATTGCTAGTGGCCAACAAAACACTGCCAATAAAACTACTTATGGATGCTTAAGGACATGATGTTGCTCCACACTTCAAAGAATAATAGCACCCTCCACTTTAGCTGATATGAAGAGTAATGGCTGAAAATTGGGGTATTGAACACTACTGTTTGATAACCCTTTTTCCAAGCCTTTTCTTGCTTCTTTTTTTTTTTTGTTTTATTTAAGTAGCATTTGTTATTGAATGTTTTCTATTTGTTTTCTTTGCTTCATCACGGAATCACATGCACATTTGTATAAGTATGCACATATGTTATTACTTTTATAATGGAATTCGTTTTTGTTTGGAAGACATTGCTCAAAATTGGCTAGCTAAAATTAATATCTTAGTTGGACACTTATTCAACTAATTTCTAGTATTGCTGTTAACCACCAAAAATCATGATTTCCTTTGCTTGTAGTGTGATCTCCACCAAAACCTTAAATTTTTTTTGGCACAATAAAATAGACATATAGATAGGTCACTCTACGTATCCGTAAGAGAGTTACCATAGCTATATGCAAGAGGCTTCACCGCATCTATATCGGAGACGAAACTAAGGTCTCATTGCATGCTTTAGAGGCTGAAGGGTAGGTTTAGCCCTGCTAAATTGTGTAGACTCGAACCCAAACATTGTGCGAGAAAATCCGAGTGACTAACCGCTCGGTGGTAAAACCTTGCATTTCCTAACCCCCCCAAAGAAAAAAAACACCCACCACACACATGAACTTAACATTCATTAGTTAAGCAAAAACTGAAATTAAGGCAGGACAGCAAATTACCTTGGGACATTTCAATAAGTCGAGAACTTCTATCGTATCATTCTTCTCCGAGAATGCTGAGCTCCTAAGAAGCCACGAAAAACACATGCGGAGCTTCAAATTGAAGTCGCCGAACGTTGTATATGACCACATTTCTTCACCAAATTCATTCCACCAATGAATTCGCAGATCCGAAAGCTCGATACTATTTAATACCCTTTTCAGCTGAAATTGGCTTCTTCGTTTCACCCCCCAAAGACCAAGACTAGTCTCCAACTACGAGAGCATTCAATAATAAATGTGGACGCATATATACAGAATTACATATGAACACACAAATATCTTTGTGAAAGTATTTATGAGCTTAAAAGTCAGGAAAATAGAACAGAAACAAGAAAACCAAGAGATGATAAAAAGTAAAGAAGGTTCACCGGTGCATTTGCTCACTCAACCACTGAACGAGTGTGTGTATGAGAGAGAGAGAGAGAGAGAGCGCCATCCCATTGAAGGCGGGCATAATTAATTAGAGTATTTCACTTACGAAAAATTGAATTCTCCACCTATAAAACCTTAACAGGGTCAAAATACAAATTCATCTTTAAAAATAAAAATTTGTTCCATCTTCTTCGTACAAACTCCCGATATCGATAGCTTAATCAAGTCAAATTTTACGGATTTGACTTAATGTCTAACGAGCTTTTTTTCTTAAAAAAATTTAACAAAGTGTTCAAACTCAATTTGAGATAATCGAGATCAAGTCCGAACTAAACCTGAGCCGAGTTCAAATAATTAAATTATTTTACATATAAATAAGTTGAATTTTAGGAGTTTGAACCACACCACATTTTATAACCTTCGAACCGAAACCCCAAATTAAAATAGAGATGGAATTCCAAAACCTGCGAGCTCCGTGACTGGTTTCAAGAGAAGGTCCACCAATGGTTGATAGGTCATTCCCCCCTATCCGTCTCTTGATCCCTCGTTCCACTAATTTGTTGTTATGGATTCATTTAAGGCATAGACTCCCCCTTTCTTTGTCTTATTAGAGCAGGTCTTTGTCAACGATAAAAACTGTTGAACTTATTACTTGAGTTGAGTCGAGAAAGAGGGCTAGCCCCCTTTTAGGTTCATTTTTTTAAACAAGTTTACAAAATTATTTAAATTTAACTCGTTTGAAACATGAGTCAAAGTCAAGTCGAATTTTATCTGAATTGCAGCCAAATCGAGTTTGAGGAACTCATGTCAATTAACACCTCTACCAACGACTTAATCAATATATTCTACAATATAAAATAATCCTATTAATCCTCACATATCTCTATCTCCCTTACCTATTTTTTATTTTTATTTTATCTTTGTTCAAATATAAATATTACATAATTAATATTTAATTTTTAATCTTATAAAATATCTGTAAACACAAAATTATTGATATACCTTATATTTGTTCATTTCGACCAGCTTTAATTGCATTTGCTATGAATTGCTTGCTTTCAATATCAATTCTTAATTGTTTTATAATTATACTTGAGTCACTTCGTAACTAAAAAATTATATTAAGAGCATCTTCAACCTTTATTTATATTAAACTCTAAATTTTAATTTAAGTCAAAACACTTGAAAACCTTCTTCAATTTCTATACTCAAACTCATAAAATCAAAGGAAACTTAAAAATTTATAAAGATCAAAAGAGACTCGAACCTTTACTTAAATCATCAATGTTTATATTTTTTTCTTTCTTTAAAAATTCAATGATCATAATTTACTCTGTTTTAAATTTGAATTTCTCCTCCATTTCTCATTTGTTAAATTTAAATTTGTCCATTAAAATCATTTGTATCAAATCAGCTTTTTTATTTTTGTTTTTTTGAACATGAATCAATTTTTTACTCAAAATTGAGTAAAAATTTGAATTAAAGTTTTTTTGGATGACAGGGAAAATCCCTAACCTGTCTGCGGCGAGAAAGAGGTGACTTAGTTGAGTTTAAGTTGAACCAACGACAAACTCCGAATGTAAGAATCGGTTCTCAACCCATATACTAGTAAAATTAAGATTTATACTTTGATGGAAATTCAAACTTACACAAAATACTTGAATACGGTTCGTTCAAATAATTGAAGTCCGTTTTATCGACGAATGACACATTTTTAAGATGCTTTGAGAGATGTTCTTCCTCAAATACATAATTATAATGTAAATTCTGACTATAAATAATTGCTCATAGTTAAAATGTAGATTATCACACGCTAAAGCTTTTCAATGCAAACTCACTCTTTTTTTTTTCTCAATTTGTACGTATCATATTACTTCTAATATCAAATTGGCAATGACCACAAAATCCTTTCACCTACTCTCTCACTTGAGGGTCTTAAAACTAACAAAAACGGAGTTAGTTTTAATTTTACTCATAATCTTCCATTGAATGATGTTCTATTTTTTCTACTGTATTTTAAATCTCGTGTTGCCTATTTTATTTTGGTTTAACAATTAAGTGTTAATGAATCAACTTATGCAGATCTCGATTAATCTCCTCTCGTAAGTCGATTACTCAATTTCAAGCAATCTTGTCAAAACTTGAATGATTTGAAGTCTCATCTATTTCATCATACTCCCTTTGATTTTAGTCCCCTAAAATTTTAATCTTCATTTCGTGATCAAAGTGTGCATTTTTTTTGCAAGGTTAATCTTGAGCTGTGTCATTTGAACTCATTGTGGCTACATTGTAAAGTAAATTTAAATATAATCACAGACAAACTAAATATATCGAGTCAATTAAGATATATTTTATGAGACTCGAATTTGAGATGTCGAGATAAGACTCGAATTTAAAATTCCGAATAACATTTCCTTATACCTTTCCATCTAAATTAGTGGAGACAAAATTGTTCAAGGATTGTGATTCTAACAAGGAAAAGAGTCAAAGACTAACAAAGTAAAAGCACCGTATTTATTTCCATCCCCGACATCCAAGTCAGTGATTGGATCAATGCTGGAAAGTATGGGTACAAACAAGACTAGTGATTCTATGTGGTAGTATTTGATATTCACTTACCGCATAGAATCACTCAAGGTATTTTATTATAGGATACCTTTAGTGAGAATGTGGTTTTAAGAAATTATCATTACGGACACATCAGGAAAAGCTGCTGGTACCCAAAGTTATATTTTCTATACTATAACAAAGAGTTATGTTTTGGTACTACGTGTTTTCTTTTTTCCAACACAACATGACACATGGAGATTTTCATTTTTTTTTTATTGTTTATTATTTTTATGATTAGTGGGTTACGGTGTAGATTGGAAGGATTAATCAGTCTCTTATCCTTGGTCCTATTCTGTTCAGAACTGGTTGTTTGCACCACAATTGCAGGGAGATGGTAAACCCAGAATAAAAATCAGGTCGTCATAGAACNAATAAGTATAGAGGTCCACGAGATGAGTCAGAAATCATGGCGATCAGGTGTAAGCAAACTTCATGCACCCATAATTTATCACAACAAAGTCCTGCAAAAACTGATTCTTTGGTTTCTCTAACAAAATTCTACTTTTATATACATCTTAAAGCAATACCTGATTTAAGAGTTCCATGAGGATTCGCTGAACTTCTCTATCAGCTCCAGTCTGAGCATCAAACCTAGCAGTAGCAATTGCATCTACCTCGTCAATAAAAACAATGGCAGGGGCATTTTCTTTGGCAAGTCGAAAAACATCANCCAGTGAAGTCGGAGAAATAGATGAGTGGCAATCGGATAAAATCAAAAAAGAAAATACAAAATGCAGATGCTTCTGATCAGACAATGGATAGAGAGAAGTGGAGTCCATCTATAAGCTAGTACAAGGCATCAAGAGATTACAAGAGAGAATGAGACAAAAATCAAGGAGGGGAGATAGATGTTTTCACGCCCATTTTTGAAATCGAAATCAAAAAAGAGGACGTTAACACTCTCCACGGGCTCAAAANTGGACCCTGAAAAAGTTATAGCAAAGAATAATCACTATGAACACTATTTCAACAACCTGGCTATTGCCAATTCGTAGCACAAGAAAAACAAGAATAGCATAAAGAACACTTTGGCTCTCAGTGCCATTACTTGTTAATTTGAAAGTGCAAAGGACATAGCAAATACGTTTTCATATAAGAGATTAAGCTAAGCCTCCATTTGGATCTCAAATAGAAGCGAGGGAAAGGAAATGCTTAAAATTATGAGCAGATAATGCATCCTCAAGCAATTTCCTCTCCTGTTTCCTAGTTTTGAGGTACAACAAAGCCTATATATATGCAACCTTTCCTCTCACTTAAACGGCCAAATGAAATAAACCTCCAACAACTCAATAACAGTGAAGATTCTCAATTCTGTCGATGTTTCCAAATAACAAACAATAATCATGCACAAAATATACCCAAAACTATGAATAAGTAAACGATGCAAATACAGATATAGAATAATTCAAAAAAATCTTCAATGCACACCTCTCCCAAATACTTCTGAACGAACTCTGAGCCAACAACTCTGATGAAGGCAGCAGTTGTATGGTGAGCGACAGCCTTGGCAAGCATGGTTTTACCAGTGCCTGGTGGACCATAGAGCAGAACACCACGAGGAGGATCAATACCAATCTGCTTGTACAAATCAAAATGAGTCAAAGGTAGTTCAACAGCTTCACGGATTTCCTGCTTTTGAATGTCACATCCTCCAATATCCTGGCAAACCAAGCAGAGAGGGAATTAAGTGGGAAGAAACATCATTTTGTAAGCTTAAACAAGAACCAGCATCATACCCCAGAAAAAAAAACAAGGACCCAACTTCCCAAAGGAAGAGACAATGGTTAATAAAATGGCAAACTCACATATAGCAATTGAATGATAATGCTACTCATTCGACAACGTGATATAGTGACACCTAAATTAATTACCAAAATCGCCATCACCCACTATTATTGCCTCACCCACTGCCATGACAACATTGACAGCAGC